AGGTCTGGTTTTATAAATGCTGGTGATAAACCAGATAGAAATAGGACTAATTTTCAGATATGTCTGAAGAACATGTAACCTGAGTTGAGAAATGGTGCAGTTAGTAGTTGCCATTAAATGAATTATAAATATTTTTATTTTCTAGGTGATTCTGATATCATTAGAAGCATGCCAGAACAGACCGGTGAAAAATAAATCATACAAAATTTTTCATTAATAAAACTTGCCAGAGCTTGTTTTTGGTGTTTTGTTGCATTGTGTTTTGTTCTGTTTTTGAGGCAGGGTCCTCAGTATATGGTGCAGCCTTGAACTTGCTTATGTAGCCCGGGCTGGCCTCCAGCTGATGGTGATCCTCTTGCCTCAGCCTCCAGAGTGCTGGGATTACAGGTATGCACCACCATACCCAACCAGAGCTTGTTTTAAAAACTGTATCCATTTCAGTTATTTTTCTCTTTGTTTCCTGACACTTTCATGAAAGTAGGGTCAGAGAGGACCAGCCAGATGTGGCATGGTGGCAACTTTCCAAAGAAGAGTTAAGCATTCTACTCTCCATTCTCCTGTTTTTCTAAAGGAAGGCACTGAGCATCTCTTACCCAAAATGTGTGGAGTTGCAAATGTTGTGGATTCTGCAATATTTGCATATACATAAAGTGTTTTGATGATGGGATCTAAATCTAAACACAGGGTTCTTTTTTTTTGTTTTATATACATATACATACACTGTGCACATACAGCCTTAAGGTAATCTTGTAATTTGTGCAGAAACAGTTTCAGAGTGGAATTTTCAACTTGTGTGCTTAAAAAGTTTATGATGGTGAAGCAGTGTTCATTTTGTATTTTTGAATTGGGGATATTCAAGCTATACTAGATTTTAATTTTCAGAATTGTAATTTCAGAGTATTAAGGGAAGTGTTTCATCATAGGCTGAGAAAAGTTCTAGTGAATGTTTTGTTGTTTTTTTTTTTTGGTTTTTCTCCGGTACCGGGAACCGAACTCACAACCTTGCGCTTGCCAGGCAGGCGCTTTTGCCGCTGAGCTAAATCCCCAGCCCCCTAGTGAATGTTAATAAAAAGGTCTTTCCTGAGGTGCAGTGGTGGACAGAGGAAATATACTTGGGCAACTGCTGAATAATATCACATCTTCAGTAAGTATGAAGTGTCAGATTGATTGCCTGGCTGTATTTTGTTCTCTAAAAGATGGGAAGTGTGTTTGCTGTTGAGATTTTGAGGGAACTCCACGTCTCCCTGGAAAATGTCCCATCGAACCCTTTTCCACACATTGATGACCTTTGGAAGTAATTTGGGGAAAACAGTAACTTAGTTACATCTTGATATGCCAAGTTGAATGGTGCTAATTTAGGGTCTGTAACCTATGCAGGTTGCTAGACTTTGAGGGAGGCTGCAGAACTTTTGGAAGTAACCGTCTTGAATTTTAGAATCAGTCTCCCTCTTTGCTCTTTCACTCCCCTCCTGTCTGCTCAGGCACTTTTTGATGATAGATCAATGAGTCAGGAAATGATTTGTGTATGTTGTCTATGTACAGGCGAGGGAGTTGATTTCTTTCAAGGTAGCATGATTTTGGTGTCAGGTTAATGCGGTGTACATATTTTGGAGAGTCCGGCTGTTATTAATTTGATTGTTCAGTTACTGTATTAACTTGGGGGCATTGTTGGCATTTTAGAGTAGAACAGTTCTTCCAGAAGGGCTGTATTTCAGCTTTTCAACCATATCATTGAAATGTCACTCCTACATTTTTAAACGTGTATGTCTCTTGGTTAAGAGCTACGGATTGCCAGGCATGGTGAAGTATGCCTGTAATCCCAGCACTCGGGAAGCTGAGGCAGAAAGATAACTGCAAATTCAAGGCCAATCTGGGCTACATGGTGAGACTGTCTCAAAAGACAAAAGGACTGAGTTAATGAAAAGTTTTAGGTATTTTAAAGTGGTATTCATGTTTATATATTCAGTGACCAATGTGCCTATTTGTTTAGTTACTTGAAATAGTCTTGCTATGTGGTTCAGGTGGGCCTCGAACTTGTATTGATCTTCCTGCCTCAGCCTCCCAAGCACTGGGATTACAGGCTTGTGCCAGTAAGACCAAGCGATTCTTACTAGATAATTAAACATTTAACTAACATTGGGCATGATGACACACACCTGTAGTCCCGACAATTGGGAGGCTTACACAGGAAGACTGCTGCCAAGTTCAAGGCCATCCCAGGTGACACAGCAAGACCTATCTGGGGGGAAAAAACTTGCTTGGTCTGACTACTGCTCTCAGACTTGGTCCTGTTTCCACCATTCACAGTGTTTCCGTCTTGGCTAAGGAATTTTTTGTGCTTTTAACCTTCAAATCAGTTTCTCCCCCAAGTGTACCTTTCATACTATCTGAATGATATTTTCTCTCCAGGATGACTAGTTCCAGTTTCCAAAGTGTGCCCAGAAGAATACAGAATTTCAGATGACAGTGTTCCCTTTTTTGTAGTGTTTATTAGCGTGGCTTTGTAGATATTTTGGAATATTTTACACTGTATGTTGTACATAGTGATTACCTTCATCATGGGGAACCGGCATATGTACATAACACTTAATTCTACTCATCTCCATCTCTAGATCCCAAAGATGGTTTCCTGTTAAGTTATTTTGCTCTTCATTTTTACTTTGGGTTGCTCATATGAGAGAAACCATGAGATACGTTAAGCTTGTGTGCTGACTTACTTAACAGTGTGGTCGCAGGGTGCGTCCATAAATAGGTTTATCTTTCATGGCCTAGTAGTTCTCCATTGTATATACGTACCACATTTTATTTATCCAGTCATCTGTTGACGGACGTACAGGCCTCTTCTAAGATTTAGAAGTTGTGTTAAGATTTAGAAGTCCTGTAGATATGAGTATGCAGGTATCACTGTGATATGTCTAAATTTTTCAGGAATATACTTAAAAGGGGGATAGTTGGATCAGATAGAATTGGAGAATCATCATACTGATTTCCATAGTGATTGTATTAGTTTACATTCCCACCAACAATGTAGAAGGGCCTACCCCAAGCTTTGCCAGCATTTGTCCTTTGATTTTGGTTTTTGTTTTTTTTTTTTCTTTGATGATAGCCATTGTATCTGGAGTAAGATGGATTTTCAGTGTTTATTTGCATTTCCATAATGGCCAAAGGTGTTGAGCCTTTTAAAATTATTAGCCATTTGTAAAAACTTGTGAGATGTGCCTGTTCATTTCAGTTGCCCATTTTTTCAATGGAGTGCCTTATTTCATGTTTTGTTCCTTATATATTATAGATAGTAGTCTTCTGAGGCGGGGCTGGCAAAACTATTTTGGATTTTTTTTAGAAGACTTCTAAGGTCTCCTTGGTCATGTGCTATAAAAGATCATTTGTTTTTACCTTTTTTTTTTTTTTTTTTTTTTTTGGTTTTTCTCCAGTACCGGGAACTGAACTCACGACCTTGCACTTGCCAGGCAGGCGCTTTGCCGCTGAGCTAAATCCCCAGCCCCGTTTTTACCTCTTTATATGTACTTTGTGAGAAAAGAGTTCAAGATTCAGAGAAAAGAGGTTTAAAGTGGGTAGAAAAGAAATACTCCCTGCTTGGCCCTGGAATAGTTGCAGTAAAGTGCCACTGAACTGCTCCTGAAGCCAGGCAAGATGGTGTGCACCTGGAAGGCTGAGGAAGGAGGGTTGTAAAGAATTTTTTTTAAAAAAATCAGAATGTATCTCGGTTCAATTTCAAGTACCATTTTTGATGGGAAAGAAAAGCTGCTTCTGGAAAATCTCACTGGCCAGGAATATCAAGGTGGCATTTTAAAATGTTCTTTCTAATAGAAATGAAAGTGATGTTTGGCTGGGTAGCTCTAATACACAGGAAATCTCAAGTCAGCTGGATTTGCTGTGCATTTCTGAACTTCCATAAGGTGTGAAGAGAAATATAAAAGAGGTTAGATGTTGTGAGAACCAAAGTCAGGAACTGTAGTTGTCTGGGACGGTGGCGGCAGCAAAAGGCATAGAACAAGTCAGTTGTTAGGCTGGTCTTGAATGTAGTCAGGTTATCTGGAAGGTGGTCATCTGTTTCACGGAAAATAGAGTTTTAGTAAATTCGGTGATGGTGTGCTCCCACCTCTGCTACCAAGTTGGAGAAATTTTGCGCCACTAGAGGGAGCTTGAACACAGCAGAAGGTGAAGTAAGGGGAACTCAGATCAGTACTATGTCCTAATGAAAGCCCGTTTTTAGCTCAGATGTATTGTTTAGATATAAACTCCAGGGCTGAGGCAATGAGTCATATGATACTCAAGATACGGTACCATACTGCCCTTTGGAAGGCCTTTCTGGTGAAAATCCTTGAAGTATTTCAAATTAGTTCATTTGTAGAGCATCATTTGGACGTAATTTGGTTTTTGTTTCTTAGGAAGCTGTGTCTAAGTGCCATCTTGAGCTCATGGGGTTGAAATCCCCTTAACTCTATCCCACTTCCCTTTCCCTATCTGGCACTCATCCTTCCAGCACAGTTCCTGTACTACATACACGTATCAGCCACTAGTAGTGCTTGTGTTTTCATCTACAGAAATAATACATACAAAATCCTGCATTTAAAAAAAAAATTCATCTTTGTATTTGAGTGGACTGGAGAATTCCAGTACCTGTGCAGTATTTCTGTGGTTGGACAGTACCACTGTGTACTCAGTTCCTCTTCCAATCTGATGATTTATTGCCTACAAACTCTAGTCTCATTCTCATGTAGCGCTCCTTGTAGGTCTTAGTAATCTGCAAGTTCAGTTGCCCGTCACAAGCTTGGCTGTCCTTTTCATTTTATGGGTGCAGGCAGATTTATTCCCCCAAGGAACTGCCTATGTGTGTACTCAGCAGCAGTAAGAGCCTATATTTCTGCCCCAATACTAATACTAGTCAGACACTCTTTTTGTCAAGCTGATGGAGCAAAAATTAGTATTGTTTTAATCTGCATTTTCCCGATTAGTAAGATTAGCCGATTTTTCATATATTGGCCGTTTTCATGTGCACATGTCTTGTATTTAAGAATTTTACACAGAATGCATTCTCTGTAGTGAATTTTAATACTGTATAAAAAATTCAACTTGTTACACGAGTACATATGTCCTGTGCTTTTTACGCATCCATATACATATATCAAGAATAAGTCCAGTACCAAGCCAGCATTTTCTGTGGCCGGCCAGTGCTTGCAGAAGGAGGACTGCGAACTTGTAATCAGATGAGACTGCAACACTAAGGCTGCCTGAGGCAGAAGCAGATCCTATCCAGAGGACATAAAAGACTATCTTGTGTAGCTTATTCTCACAGTAAACTCATCTTAGAACTCTGATGGATTTGTTCTCCTAAGTAAATTTTTACAGGTTAGTGTGCACTTTTTGCCTTTGTATAGCAAACCAGCTTGCTCAGAACTGGTGTGTTTACTGCTCATTACAGACTTCATCACAGCCTGAGCTGTGGGGCTCCGTGCCTCGTGTGATCCTCAACACCATGGTGTACAGATGTGGAGAGCATTTCCAGTCCTCATCTGGCTCTCAGGCGATTTTCCAAAGCTTCCATTCTCTGTGTCATTTCTTCTAGTAAATCTCAAATTAAGGAAGAGTCTGAATTACCTGTTTTAATTTACATTCAAATAAATTTGATTCTTCTACATAAAAATTTGTCTTGAAATACAGAAGGTTTTGGGGGTTTTCTCCCCCCCCCCTTTTTTTTTGTGACAGTCTCAACATACAGTTCAGGCTGGCCTTGAACTCACAAAGTAGCCCATATTGGCCTTGAACTTGCAGTGATCCTCCTGCCTCAGCTGAGTGCTGGCGTTACAGGTGTGCCCATGTTCAGCTTCCCTGATTTTTAAGTGTTTTATTTTTTAAATTTCTCAGACAAGGTTTCACTATGTGTGTGTGTATGTATATATATATATATATATATATATATATATATATATATATATATATATATATAGCCCAGGCTGGCCTTGAATTTGCATTGATCCTCCTGCCTTAGCCTCCTGAGTGTTGGGATTACAAGTGTACACTACCACACCTGACTTTTCCCCAATCCCTGTGAAATATTTTAAAATCCTGATTTGTAAGTTTATAATAACTCATTCAACATGCTGTCAAGATAAGTACAGTTCAGGTTAAGTTCATTTTTAGAAACACGAAAGCCAGATAGCTCAGTTTGAATTTGTTTTCATTCTTCACATTTTTCTTTCCACTCACACCCCTGATGCTTGTCAATTAGTGCGGTCCAGCACAGCTCTGGGAGCCAGCAGTGAGAATGCGGGGGTGCAAAGGGAAGGAAGCGTAGAAGAGTTAGGCTGTAGGAGCTAAAGTCCAGGCAGGGAGAGGAAGGTTTTTGCCACAGTGCCAGCTAAGGCTGGGGGAGGGGGCAGCAACCTTGAGGAATCCAGGCCTCTGCTCTTTTGTAGAGAACTTGAGTGTCTTGTGCAGCAGGTGGACTTGAGGGGGCGGGGGAAGGGAGGAGAGGTGCTAGAAGATGGATTACGCGTCCCTGGAAGCCCCCCTGCCACCCTGTGCCTGCTCCCTTGGCCAAGTGAGACCCCAGATTCATCATCCGTATTAGCCACTGCCAGAAGATGATTTCATGTTACTTAGAGCATATTTACAACTTTTGAAAAGGGGAACTCTTACATAGTGCGTTCCTTACGATAGAAGCCCACTGGCACTAGGGCAGTTGGGAACTGAACCATTTCCCTGTAGACTGGTAGAGCACACGGAGATACCCAGCAGCGGCTTTAGTAAGCTGACCGTCATTTTAAGTTTAGTGCACTTGGCAGTGAGTTCAGTGTGTAAAAAACCCGAAACCTCATTTCTGTATTATCCCACAGTATCCCTCTCTTTATAATATTGTTCTAATGAATCACTGGATCCTGCTGTTCCCTTGGTAAACTGTTTCATCTCTTAAGAGTGCTGATATAAAAGATCTCTACTGCCAAAAAAAGGGAGAAAAGAAAATCCCAGCCCAAAAGTCTCAGCCCTGGAGAAACTTCGCAGCAGATTCCAGCATGGCTGCCCTGCAGGTTGGAGCTAAAGAACATGATTAAAGTGTGAAAGCTTGTTCCACAACATTCTTTCTCCAGGCGTACCGCTTGTTAGTAGATCGCCTCTGTCTTCCTAGCAGAGACAGAGGAGTTAAGTCCTTTTTATTTTGTACTTTACGTATTGCTTGGCAACTGGTCTGACTGCTAATCCCCCTAGAACAGCAGATGGCAACTAAGTGCTTGACCACTGTCACTAAGCTTGGCTTGACCTTGGCTCAGACACCTATCAGGCTGCTGAAAAAAAATCCTTTCCTGGAGTTCACTATTCTTGATGTCCTGGGGATGACTTCATTTGCTAAAACCCACCTATATAGTATTTGTGAAATTTAGATACTTGCAGTCTCTATAGAACATAGTATTAGAAAAGGATATAGCGCTGTGTTAATTTTCTGACTTCTTCATTCGCAAGGTTCTGGAACATTATAAGGTTTTCACATTTGCACTGATCGTGTTTTTCTTCCAGAGGGCTCCCTGAGAAAGCAGATGGAAAGTGTTCACCTCGTCACCCAGCAGACTTACCCCACACATAACAACACTACTGAATCAGCATGCAAGGGAACCCGTAATGAAAGAGATGTCCAACTGTGCCAGGCAGCTGGACCCAGTGAAGTAAATACTGGGAAAGGCTGTCTGTATGTCTCACATTGGAAGAGCCTTTCTTGTGGGTTAGGAAGAAGACTGCTGTACTCCTCCTGGTTTATTTTTTTTAGTTTTCATTTTACTTAATTTTTCTCTACTATTTCTTCTTGAAGCTAAGCTTGCTGGCAGGTGAAAAGGCTGGTATCAAGTCATCTTACAGTAGTATTTTACTTAGCATTACCTGAAGATTTTGTGGAATGGAAAAGCTTTTGTGTAGACTGTGAAAGATTGTCTTCTTCAAACAGGTACCTATGTTGCACTGCAAAATTAGAACAGGAAAGTAGGTCTTGTATATTTATGGTGACTGGCTCAGATTCTGTAAAGAGAGAGAAAACTGAAGTCAAACCTGCTTAACACTGTTGTGGCCTAAAGCAGCCACCATAGGAGTAAGGAAGGCATTTGGTCCTCCTAGCACGCTCACAGTGACAGAGTTTCCTTTGGGACGTACTGTGGCAAAAACACCGTGAGCAGAGACACCAGTTACCAAATACGGCGTAAAGCACAGAGGTGAATCTTCCCTGTCTGGTAGAGGCAAAAAGGCCTCAGCTAACATAATTTAGATCTCACTCGCTTTCAGCTTTTTATCTGGAGGGAAAGCGTGGCAGAAGCCCCCACCAAGTGAGAACGCTGCTTTTCCAGATGTACCTGTTGGCTGGCGGCCCCTCTTTGGCAGCCCCTCTGCTGGGGAGTCCTGTCTCCGGTCGGAGTCCTCTAGAGCTGAGTAGGAAGAGACGATGAAAAGGAGTGACAGGTTTCCCCGTGCACCGCCAACTGCTCACCTCCCCGCTGTAACCCAGGCTCTTTGGTTTTGTTTAATAACAGCAAATATTCAGAAAGCTAGGACCACTTTAGGGCAGCTCTCCTAGAGAAGCATCTCCCCCCCGCACCCCCCTGCCATCATGTCTAGGGAGTAGCACAGAAAAGAGTTGAAGCCCAGGATTATTTCGTTTGTTTTCTTTTTCCCTATGGCACTGGGAGTTGAACTCAGGACGCTGTGCTGGCCAGGCAGGCGTTTACACCACTGAGCTATATCCCCAGCCCCAAAGCCCAGGATTGAGTTGCAATGGCAACAGCTCTACTTGAAGCATTTCAACATAATGGAAGAGCTACGGGGCCCACACCATCTCACAGGAAGGGCCTTCCATCCCCGGTCCTTCATCCCAGAGTTCTTTAGTGGAGCAAGACCCAGCCCTTAAGACTGGATCCTACCGAAGAGAGCCTGGAACTGGAGTCGGGACACGGGTGGAACTGCTGTGTGTGTAAGCACACTTGGCACCACTACTGAAGTGAAGGAAAGGCCCTAAAGCAAAGCCTGAATTCAGAAGGGCAGCTTGGTGCTCCGCAAACAAGTGGTCCCCACCGGAAGGGATTCTGTACTCTCAGCGGCCCTGCAGGGACCACTGCCCCATCCACTGCAACTGCGTGCACACCCTGAGTGCACGCAGTTCTGAGTCACATGTCTGCTTCTTGCTGAGATGCTCACACAGCAAAACATCTGTCATCACATGCAATCGTGTGTGGTTTCCAAGTGTCACCATCCTTGGCCACCAGGGAGGCACACAGAGCCGCGGAAGGCCTGGGTCCCCGCTCTGCAGGCCGAGCCCGACCTGGCCCCGCGCACCTTCACAGATGCCTTGCTTCAGCTTCGCGCTGATCTCGCCCATGCTGCTGAAGTCCTCCGCATAGAACAGGTGCTTGGCGGTGGGCTCCGAGGCGATCTCCTGCAGCTCCTCCTCGATGGCTTTGCCTATGCCCACGGCGTACATCGCGATACCTGGGGGCAGAGCAGACTAAGCATGAGGCAGGGTTGCCTTCTAGGTACCCAGAGCTACTGAGTGATGTGACTCGAGGAGTCCCCGTCAACACCCTTTTCTTTGTATTCCCCACCATTTTCACTCTGGCGCTAGGAGCGAAGGAGAGGGATCCTGGAGAGAGGTGAGATACCCAGGCAAGGCTGGAGGCCCCATCTGCTCCTGACCCATCTACGGCTTTGCTCTGAGCTGGCCATTCTGGGTGAGCAGGAGAGGGCATTCTCTTAGGCTCCCTAAAATGGAAATCTCGCTGGAGGTCAGTCCATGACCTTATAACCTAGGTCCTACTTCTCAAAGGTCTAGGGTAGGAACCTTAAGTGGCCTTGGGCCAAGTGAAGCTGCCTCTGCCCACCTCTCTTGGGAGGACACATTCTTGCTAGACCCTGAGCTGAAGAGGCAATGCTGAAGACCTTTAGAAACCCCAGTCAAGAAAAAGAACAAAGCCAGGTATCAACTGTAGATTTCCACAGCCCCAAAAGCTTTTCAAAATTTTTAGCCACCCCCCCATATACTCTTCATGCCAACATTTTCCAGCACTGATATGCTGGCTAGTTGATTAGACTACATTTTTTTTTCAATGCACATAAAAATGGCCTGTAAATGTTGGGTGTGGTGGTGCATGCCTGTAATCCCAGCACTTGGGAGGCTGAGGCAGGAGGATCGTTGCAAGTTCAAGACCAGCCTGGGCTACCAAGTGAGCTCAAGGCCAGCCTGAACTGCACAGTGAGACCCTGTCTCAAAAAAAAAGAAAAAAGAAAAAAAAAAAAACCCTGTAAAGCAAAGGGTAAGGGTGATTCCTTATTCTGTCTGTCAGGTCAAATAGCAAGTCCGCCATATTTGTCTGTGAGCCTAGAGGCTTCATGCACAACTCTCTAAAAGGGGCAATGCCTATTTGAAGATAGTGTCACCTATACGTAGAAATAAATTCATAAGAGGATGTCACACCAGATTAACCTTGCTGAGTCAAGAACCAGATACCTGTTTCTCCTACCACCTTACCTTTGGATGATTTGTGGAAATCTGAATGGAGTAGATTGGTCTTTTTTGTTTTTTTGAGACAGGGTCTTGCTATGTAGCCCAGGGTGGCCTCTTCCTGCCTCAGCCTTTCCAATACTGCAATTACAGGTGTACGCCACCACACCCTGTTCAGGTAGATTTGTTTTAATGAGTCAAATAAAGAGCGAACTACTGGTTCTGCAGAAAAAGATGCTTCCCCCAATACTTGTGAAGTGGGCCAGCAGGACCGGGGGTCAGTTGTGAGCTCCAGCAAACCTGTGTAGCGTGAACAGCAATTTTACTGCGCAGATGACTCAGGGCCTGCCCCTTGGCTTCCAGTGCCTTGGGCAAGGAAAAAGGAGTGAAGAGGGAGGGAAGCCACGTCCATACGATGACCTTCACAGAGCAGACGAAGTCAGCACGAGCCGCCTTCCCTCAAGAAGGAACAGGGCCCACCGCGGTTCCCTCAGCCCCGCTCATGACTCGGCAAGTCCTGTCACACGTCTTCCACGTGTCAGGCCCGGCCAGGCACTGGCCCAGCCAGTCTCAGGGAGGCCCTGGTCTGCGCCTCCCTCTCCCCTCAGGGGACCCGCTAGAGCACCGTGCCCTCAACAGGGGCTCAGAGTAGCAGCCACAATAGACTGCTTCCCAATCTCAGGTCCGTGTCTCCCCCAGGGAGCCCCGCACTGTCTCTCCAGCCCTCCCAGCTCTGGGTTCCCTTTTACACGGCCACAGTCCCCTCCCACATGTCACATCAGCACCCCTGAGGCAACCCCCAGTCCTTCCCCGCTCACACTGAGGGTGGGAAACCCTCGGCAAGGCTGAGCTTTACTTGGGTAGAGTCACCACCCGTTCCCACATCTTGAGTTTTCACAAAGCTAACTTTCACCAGCAAGAGTATTGCTGCACTGGTTAAAAACGAAAGGAGCTAGGGATGGTGGCACCGGGGAGGCTGGAGCAGTAGGATCGCCATGATTCAAGGCCAGGCTGGGCTACATAGTGAGTTCAAGGCCAGCCTGAATTACAGAGGAGACCCTGTCTCCAAAAACAACAAAACACCAAAATCCAAAACAGGTCCCATTACAGCCTCTAGGTGGCAGTGTGGTAAAGGTGGCAATGTCGTCTGTCCTTCAAAGACCATCTCTGCCCGGGAGACCACATTACCATGGGCTTTGGCCTTGCTGGCCCACTCGGAGACGTCGTCCTGGGCCCGTCCGTCGGTGAACACGATGGCCACTCTGGGCACGCGTGCTGACAGGGGCCGGGCGCCCTCCGCCGCGGTGAAACTTCTCTCAAACATGTGCTTCAGGGCCAGCCCGGTCATGGAGCCCTTGCCCATGTACTTCATTTGGGCCACCGCTTTCCGCATGTCCTTGGCCGAGTGGAAGCTCCGCAGAGTGAACTCGGGGCGCACCTGCGTGGAGTACTGGAGCAGCCCCACGCGGGCGGCCTTGGGGGAAATGGCCAAGGAGTCTATGATTCTGGTCACGAACTGCTTCACGATCTCAAAATTGTCTTCACCAAGGCTCTTGGATCCGTCAATCACAAAGACCAGGTCAATTGGGCCCTCCGTGCATCCTAATAAAAGGCAAGTTAAATAATTAAAAATCATTCGTCCATAAAAGTAGAAGACACTGATGCTCAATTGGAGGCCCAAATGCTTTGGGGAACCACCTTTATTTTTAGGAAGACAAGAGGTGATGCAGCTTCCTGGGGTGGTGCATGCCTGTAATCCCAGCACTCAGGAGGCTGAGGCATGAGGATCCCTGTGAATTCAAGCCCAGGCTAAATTATTTAGTGAGATCCTGTATCAAGCAAAACCAAACAAACAAACACAAAGAAGTGTGTGTGGGGGGGTTTACAAACAATGATCATTTCTGCAAAGGCCCTGGATTCAATCCCCAGTACCACAAAAAAATTAATAATAATAATAATTCATATATATATATATATATATATATATATATTAGAACTCTGCCTCAAGCTTGCCAGGCAGGAACTGTGCCAATGAGTTACATCCCTAGCCCTCACATATTTTTATTTGTGTTTGCCTGATCAAAGTGGTAAAAGTAGTAATTCTCATAAGCAAACACACGGTAGATGTTCAAATTATGTAACAAGCAGGCCCACACCGCACCCTGATTGCTGAGAGTCGCCCCGGGAGCGGCTGTGTGTGCCGCACACAGAAGACGCCGGCCATACCTGAGAGTCCTTCCTCTGCTCCAGGAGGACGACATCACTCAAGCCCCGGCCTTCAGGTGGCAGCTCTTGTGCGGAGCTTTCCTAGGAACCCTATCTGAATATCCTGACACTATCTATTAATGTATTCAACCGCAATTTTATTTACAATACACCTTGCTACAGTTTATAGCTAGATGTCCCCCGAGATCCTCAGGCACTCAGAAGTGCTGCTTTTGGAAGGGGGCTGTATCACGCGGGCTGAGGGCTGACCCGCTGTTCGGAGCTGGGGCTGGGTTGGAAGAGGCAGTCGGGGGGGTGTGGCCTTGGAGCGGTTAGCTCCCTCCCGGCCCCTCGCTCCTCTTTCCGCTTCCTGTCCTCGGGTTAGGTGAGCAGCTCCCTCGGCCATGGCCCTCTTCCAGACCACTTTGCCTTGGAGACAGCAGACTGCGGACTGAACCCTCTACAGACTGCGAGCCCAAATAAACCTCTCCTCCCTTACACTGTGGACGTCAGGCATTGTCTCAGCAAGGAGAAAGCGGCTAGGACGCATGGGTCTTGTGCGAATCGGTAGCCATGGCAGGACCGCCACGGTGACCAGGACAGCGTGCCCAGCTCCTCGCTGCTTACAGTCTGACGTGCTCTGTGCTCACTGAGAGGGTAAGACTCGAGGTGGTGCCTAGCGGGCGGGACACTTGTAAGCTCCTTACTATTAGAGTTTAAAACGAACCATCACTGTGGATTCTTTCTAACCAAGGCTTTTGGGGCAACTCAGTTGAAATAAAAGAGAGAAGAAATTCATGCAAACACCTAAGGAGTTTGGGTGTGGACAGACTTTGTTATTGAAGGGCTGTGTAAGAAAAATTCACAGACCCCAAGTGGATGATCTCATTTCAGTGCACGGTGTATTACTATAACATTCTCTTTTATGCATCTAATCTTTCAAAGCGAGGGGCAACTGTATAAGCAAGTAGAGACACACACAGGGGCAAATGTTTCTAGGTTTGGCCAATGTAGCACACTGACGTATTTGTGTGTGTGTGTATGGGTGCGCGCATGGGGTAGCTAAGTTCTTCTCTTTCTCCATTAAGTGCTTGTCCACATCACTCACCCTGTTGATTCTGTCTAGTGAACAAAGAAAAGGCCCAAGACAGACATGTGTGACCACATCAGCTTAGGAGCACTGTGCTTTTTTCATTTAAAATATCTTGGGAGTAAGCCAAGCATGGTGGCACCTAACTATAATCCCAGCACGCTGGGAACCTGAGGCAGAAGGATCACAAGTTCAAGCCCAGCCTGGGCAACTTAGCAATTTATCGAGATCTTGTCTCAAAATTTAAAAAATACACTGGGGATATAGTTCAAGTGCAAAGGCCCTGGGTTCAATCCCCAGTACCACAAAATAAGCAAACACACTTGGGGTCTGTTTCGAGCTGCTTCATTCTTTTTAACAGCTGCATAGTATTCCACTGTGTAGGTAACCGTGATTTATTTAACCAGTCTCCTAAGGGTGGACATTTAGCTTGCTTCCAGTTTTTTGCTGCTGGAAATAATGGGATACAAAATATCCTTTGTGAACACATGCACATACCTGGAGTTGCATTTAAAATATGGCCGAATCACCCTCCTAAAAAACTGTGCTAGTTACACACCCATTGATCACTTTCTAATTACCAATTACCACATACCATTGCCAACGTAAGGAATTATTACCTTAGGAATTATTACACTTTCAATCTCTGATAACTTGTGAGTTAAAAAGGGTATCATAGTTTTAATCCTTTAAGACATATTTTCTTTTTAAGGCTTTTGAACTTCATGTCATGTTTAGAACAAGCTTCTCTACTGTGAGATTATAAAGTGATTCAAAATTTTCTTGCTATTTTCGTGATTAATTTTATTTTATTTTTGTTCTTTTGAAACAGGGTCTTGCTATGCAGTTCAGGCTGACCTTGTGCTCACTTTGTAGCCGAAGCTGGCCTCGAACTCGCAACGATCCTCCTGCCTCTGCCTCCTGAGTGCTGGGATTACAGGCGTGCACCTGGCAGTTATGATTAAATTTTTTGTTTGTTTTTTAGGGACAGGGTCTTGCTATGTACTCCAGACTGGCCTTGAACTTACTATGTATCCCAGGCTGGCCTCAAACTCAGGGCAATTCTCCTGCCTCAGCCTCTGGACTAGTCGAATTACAGGCGTGTGCCACCATGCCTGGTTTAAAATTTTTTTTAAATGTTTGAACTTTCGATCCATCTCTTCTCCTAAAGTCCTATGTGCTGTACTGAAGGACGTTTCTTAAAGTCCACTGTGCTGTAATTCTCCAGCACAGTGCAGAGCACAGTTCTACCTTTCACAACCAGATGTTCTCATTCAGACTAGGATCACTGCAGACTCTTTTTTTATTTTTTTTTTTTTTGTCTTTTTGAGACAGAGTCTCACTATGCAGTTCAGGCTGGCCTTAAGCTCACTTTGTAGCCCAGGCTGGTCTCAAACTAGCAACGATCCTCCTGCCTCAGCCTCCCGAGTGCTGGAATTACAGGCGTGTGCCGCCACGCCTGGCCTCCCCGCACACTCTTGAACTTCTGGGCACCTCAAACCATTTTCGCAGGTGCTGCTGCCATGAGGCGTCCCCCTCGTCCCGCCCTGTTTGCGTACACTGGTTTAGATTTATGAGGGCAGCAGAGGTAAAGGATTTGTGGCCAGAAAATATTCCAAGAAGCAGTTGCTCCCAAACCAAGTGAGAGCAGAGCCAAGTCAGGCCACTCACGCTTGCAGCGCCGTCCATCCTCGGCGAGGACGAAGCCCTGGGAGCACTTGCAGACATAGGAGTTGCCCTTGCTCACGCAGATGTGCTCGCAGCCGTGTGAGCGCGAAGCGCAGGCATCCTTCCCTGCGGAGAGAGCGGAGATACGCACCCTGTCAGCGTGGCCATGGGCCGCGGGACGGGCAAAGGAGAGGGTGAGGAGCGCGTCATTAAAACAGACCATCTCGCTGGGAACTCGTTTCTTGAGACAGGGTCTCGCTATGTAGCCCAGGCTGCCCTCCCACTCGAGCTGATCCTCCTGCCTCAGCTTCCTGAGCATGTGTGCCACCAAGCCTGGCAAAAGCAAATGAACTTTTGCCTTAACTGAAAAAGGGCCATTTGGCCAACTGAGGCAGAGTGTCACAAAAGCAAGTAAGATGTCCAACTTCCCAAAAGGAGGATGAACAGCCAGAATCTCCTGGTGGATAAAAAATGTCCTGTGCACTGCTGATGCCACCTCCCTGAGCTAGCATGTCCACAGCTTTCTTCCTTGGTACTGTGATGGCTGATGCTACGAGTCACCTTGGCTAGGCTAGGCCCAGCTGTTTGTTCCAGTACTAGTCTAGAGGTTGTGAAGGTAAATCTTTAGGTGAGATTAACATTTAAGTGGACTGAGTAAGCAGACTTCCTTCCATGATGTGGGCAGGCCTTATCCAATTAGTTGAAGGTCAAGAAAAAAAGACCAAAATTCTTTGGGAAGAGGGGACTCCCTGGGTCTCAAGACTGCACTGAAGATCTCATACTTGCCAGCCTTCACAAGCCTGTGGGCCAGTTCCTTATTCTTTCTCTTTACACACAACATATGCGCACGCACACACGCACACACACACGCACATACACACAGTTGTCTTTTTTTTTGAGACAGGGTCTTGCTATGCTTGAACTCACTATGTAGCCTTGAACTTGAGGGGATCCTCCTGCCTCAGCCTCGTGAATGCTGGGATTACAGATGTGTGCCACCACCTCCTGCACAATGTCTGCTTTTCTAGAGAACCCTAATACATTTCCTAACTAAATTCTGAGACTCTTCTGTATGACCTATGAAAGTCAATGAGAGTATGGATTTTTCAAAAACCCACAGAAATCCCTTGGCTCCTCTTCTACCCCTTACCCTCACTTATAAAGTCTGCCAAGAACAAGGCCTACAGTTATCTTCTGCTGCATGTAGTGGCTCTAGCAAAGATTCTGCTGCTGTGCAATGCCTAGCCAGGCACTGCCCTAGGCCCTGGCATCCACATGGCCGCTATGTTCAGGGCCAACACGGGACAGGCAAAGTGCCAGGCAACATAAGACCCCCAACATTCCCAAGGGACTAACGTCAACCTAATCTCTAGGGAAACACTTCCAGGGTAGCCAAGGTATGGAACTGAGATTTGTGATGCTGGCTAACAATTGTGAAAAGGAAGATGTTAAAGTGGGGTGTGGTGGTGCTCAGTGATAATCCCAGCACACAGGAAGCTGAGGCAGGAGGGTCGCTGAGACTTTGAAGCCAGCCTGGGCTACATAGCAAGATCTTATCTCCAAGAAAAAAAAAGGGGGGGGGAGGGTGTTAAAGATTAAAGGAAGGTTCCTCACTGCCTGAGCCCCACAGACGGAAACCCCACCCCCACCCCCAGGCTCCTTACTTCTGCAGCGCTTCCCGTCCTCTGCCAGCCAGAACCCCTCCAAGCACTTGCAGGTATACGACGTGTCGCCGCTCACACACACCTGCTCACAGCCGTGGGCCACATCCTGGCAGAAGTCTTTCCCTGTGGGTGGCAGAGCAGACAGAACAGCTGCACCAACTTAAATTTTACACGGCCTTGGCCGTACAGGGCCCCTGCATCAGGCTGCTTCCCTCTGTGCTCCTGAGCAGAAAGGTAAACTGAAGATGAAGACTCCTGAGCAGACTCTTCCAACGTTCTCACTATCGTCATCTCCAACCGAGCTTTAGGAGCACTGAAATCTAATTTGACTTTGTCCCAACATAACATAGGACTTAGGAGAATCACTTAAGCTCCTGGAATCTTAGTGTGACTGGAAAATCAGAAGAATAATTCCATTACTCACCTTTCCTTCCAATAGTGTTAACCATCACTGTGTAGACCAGGCTGGCCTTAAACTCACAGCGATGCTCCTGCCTCAGCCTCCCAAATGCTGAGATTACAGATATGAGCCACCCTGTCCGGCCCAAGTTGTTCTTTGTAAAGAGCTTTGAGAAGCTTGAGAAGATGATGGATAGGGATGGGAATCGTTTGCTTGGGGTTACACTCCTGTGTTTTGAGAGGTAGGCCAGTCATGAAGTCAGTGGACTGCCCTTGGCAGACTTGTCATGCCCCACCTAAGAGGCATTGTTTTCTGAGACAAGGGTAGCTTCTTCACCAGGTGCCCAAGGAGGGATTTGGGCACCGGGAATAACAACTTCAACAACATTATAAAAGATAAATGAACAGGGGCTCAGAGAGGGTAAGCAACTCTCCCAGGTAATAACTGCAGAACTACTGGCCGACTGACTCCGGACTTCCGGTGTGCATCTTCCTAGTTTCCTGGTGCACGGCACAGAAGGGAAGGAGTCCAGCTGTTGCTCTCCACTGACGGGTTTTTTGTGTTTTTTTGTGCTTGTTCATTTTTTAATAGATTTTATTTATTTATTCATGTAGGTGCTGGGGATTGAATCCAGGGCCTGGTGCATGCTAAGCATGTATTCTACAGTGAGCTGTCCCCTGTCACTAGAGTTTATTTTTAGGACAGTTTTAGATTTATAAAAACATTGAGAGAATTCCCATATGCCCTACACACAATTTCCCTTATTCTTAACATCTACAGTAAGACAGTATATTTATTATAAGAAATAAACCCAGACTGACACAATATTAATAGCTAATGTCCAAACTTTGTTTATACTCAGGTGTGTGTGTGTGTGTGTGTGCGCGTGTATGTGTTACTGGGGATTGGACCCAGGACCTTGCACATGCTAGGCAAGCACGCTTACTACCGAGCGCCACCCCTGAACCACATTTACTTTGTACCTAGTGTCCTTTCTCCTGTGTCAGGATCTCATTAGGATCCCACCTTACATTCCTTGGTGTGGCGCTGGGTAGTGCGAACCTGATCTCTCCAGAGCCCAGGGTAGTGCGTTGCTGCAGCACGCAGCGATCTGACCCAGTCAGGGGCCGGTGGCACCAACACTTACTCCTGCAGGTCTTGCCATCGTCTCGGAGTACGAACCCTTCAAAGCACCGGCACACAAATGAGTCTTCGTTGCTTATGCACGAATGTTCACAGCCATGGTCCCCCGCAGCACAAGGGTCCAGTTCTGAGAATCAAATTGGAATGACAGAAACAGAAATAAAAAATAATTCATACCTGAGAGGCTTACTCATTCGCAAAGAGGCTTCAGACACCTTAAATTAAAATAGTACTTGGGCCGGGGATATAGCTCAGTGGCACAAGCGCCTGCCTGGCAAGCACAAGGTCCTGAGTTCAATCCCTGGTACCACACAAAAAAAAGGTACCCATTTCTGCAGCACATTTTTGAGTAGAAATCGTGTCTACAAGCAATCATCCATACCGAACACATACAAATTAAACAATCATCCCCTCGGGAGAAATGAATAAAAGATATGAAAAGACAGGCCAGGTGTGGTGGCACAAACCTGTTATCTAGCATTTGGGAAGTTGAGGCAGGAGGATCACTGCAAATTCAAGGCTAGCTGGGGCAACATAGTAAATTCAAGTCCAGCCTAACTACATAGTGAGACCCTCTCTCTCTCAAAAAAAAAGATATGAAGATACAACTTATGAAAGAAGAAATGAATGGCATATAAATAGTAGAAAATAAGTTTAACTTCATTGGTTATCATAAAATACCAACTTATCTATATATGCATGCATGTATGCATGCATATATCATACTAGGTAACTCACCCATTCAATCTTTCAACAATTTTAGTTTATTTTTTTTGAGACAGGCTCTCACTGTGTAGTTCAGGCTGGCCTTGAGCTCACTATGTAACCTAAGCTGGCCCTCAAATGATCCTCCTGCCTCAGCCTCCTGAGTGCTGGAATTAGGGACATGTGCAACCACATCCTGCTCCAATTGTTAACACATGTCAAAACCAGACTAACTAAAAATGTTATAATGAATCCCTTTCTTCCCCCTGACTACACTATATTCTAAAGTAAGCTTCCGAACATGAAGGGAATTTTGCCTTTCCTTGGGCAGAAGCACTGCCTCTATCTTCCAACAATGCGGGAGCTTGGGTAACTGAATCTGTAACTGCAGAAGACAGCCAGCCCGAGTTGGACCTGGCTTTGCTGCGGACCTGACTTACTCTCTGAGCACAGCTCGGACTAATTACTGTTGCCGAGCAAGCATTTCCCAGTGGCTCCGGGCAGCTCCTGGCATAGTTAGAAAGTACAGCGCGTGATCAGAACCCAGCCGCCCTGGAGGGGAGCTCCCCCACCATGGATGTGCAACAGTACTCTGTCTTCTGGGGTCATAAAACAGTCTTTGCTTGCAGGCCCTGAAACCCACAAGCATCTTTCCAAGCTCCCCGGCCCTACCCGGCCGCCCTCCCAGCAGGTGTGGGCTTTGTGCTTGAGCTTCCCCACTCCCTGGGCCGAGGGTCCTGAGAACTAACTATCCTGCGAGAGTGGGCTGCTTCCCCGCAGGAGGGGCCGGAGAAGCTGAGCCCACAGGGCACATCTCCACGCGGGCTCCTGGCGGCCAGACCCGCTGCTCTTTGGGAGTTTTGTTGTGTGCCTGCTCTAAAATCACGTGATGAGTTTTCCCCCGTTTTTCTTTTTTCACATCCTTGCCTCAGAACACGTGATCAAGTGACAGGAAAAGTGGGGGAGCTCTCAAGCTCAGTCATCCCATGACTGCTTACGCAAAACAGGCACAGCGCTCCAAGGCACACCGAAGAGGTTGCGTGGCCCTGTGTGGGAGAATCTGGCCACAGACACAAATGTGCCTTTCACCCCAACTTCTCTTCTGCAGTCTCTCCCACAGTGCTCTGGAGCCCTGCGAAGGGACCCTTTCAAGCTCGTCACCCAAGTGCTGTGGGTAACAGGGAAAAATTCAAACCACCCAAGTATCCAGCAGCAGAGTTGCTGCATAGTCCACAGGATAGAACCTTACACAGCTCTAAAGAGAAAGAGGATACTGAAAGATCTCTGGGAAATAGTATTGTGTAAAAAAAAAAGCACAGAATGGGAGATGTAGTACAGTATTTTTTATGGTATAAGAAAGTTAAATATATTTGTATTTGCTTTTATTCACATAAGGAAGCAGTGAAAGGCTTAATCAACTAATCATTGTATTATACAGCTGCCCTCTAATGCTGTGTGAGAAATTATCCCCCAAACTTAACAGCATTTTTTCTTTTTGGTTTTTTGAAGCAAGGTCTCACTATGTAGTTGAGGCTGGCCTTGAACTCACTGTTTAGCCTAGGCTGGCCTTGCACTCACTGTGATCCTCTTGCCTCAGTGTCCAGAGTGCTGGAATTACAGGCCTGCACCACACCCAGCATGCTTGGAGTCTAGCCTGGGCAACTTAGCTAGAACTTGTCTCAAAATAAAAAGGAAAAAGGGCTGGGACTGCAGCTCAGTATGAAAGCCCCAGGCTTTCTGGATTCCCAGTACCAGAAAAAAATATTCTTAAGGGAAACAAAGGGCTTACAGTTAAAAGTAAGCCTCTTACCTTTGATATCCAACACCATTATCTTCATTTCTAGTTGCAAGGACCCAAAACCCACACCCACAACTCTACAGAGGAAAGGATTATTTTGGCTCACAGTTTGTAGAGGTTTCAGTTTGGAGTGGTCTGGCTCCAAGGCAGGGCAGCATGGCAGAGGAGAAGCAGCTCATGGCATGGCAGAGGGAAGTGGAGAGGGATCAAGGGAGGAGGAGGGAGAAAGAGAGAGATACAGAGAGACCCTTCCAGGCCACACCCATAGTGACCACCTCCTCCGACCCAGGCTTCACCTCCCAACATAGCATTTAGCTATAAACTCCTCAGTGGACTCATCCACAGGTAAGTATCACACCCCCATAACCCAATCACTGCCCAAAAACTCCACCTATAAGCACATGAGGCTTTGGGGGACACCCAGGTATAAACTATAGCAATCATCATTTTTAAAGGCTGCACAGTAATTCACCTGACCAGTCTCATATTTGATGGGCATTTAGGTGGTTCCTAGTCTCTTTTTTATTAAAAAAAAAAAATCATTGTGGTGACAAATATTTTTGTGCATACAATTTTGCATACAATATGAAAATGTAGCTGAAAAACACATATCCTAAGGCAGAAATGCTTAAAGGGTCTGAACCTTCAAAAGCTGGTAAGTAGCTCTAGGGCTTCCTCCAAAGAGTTTTGTTATGGTTTATCAACTTTTGAAAGATGATTGAATTATGAGGGCCCTGCAGCTGACTTGCTGTTAGGAGGCAGGGGCCTGGTTGGAGGTGGCTCATGGGGGTGGGACATGACCCGGAAAGGTATCTCTCCATCCCCACTCCTCCCTTCTCTCCTTCCTGGCCACCATGAAGTGAGCAGCTCTCCTCCACCAGACCCTCCCACCCCACCTTCCTGCCTTGGTGCCAGCCAACTCAAACTAAAGACTTGAGCCAAAACAAACTTCCCCAAAAAGCAGCTGCTTTTGCTGCAGCTCTAAGAGAAGCAGATCCCAAGTCTGATTCCCGGGGCCCCAAGAAGAACTTGACAACTGCATTCATCTGCTACCACTGTTAAAAGCCAGGCCACCTCAAGAGGAACTGCCCTAAGAGGACCCCTGGGCCATGCCCTGAAGGCAAAGGTGACCACTGGAGATCGGTCTGCCCTCTGAAGCGGAGACCCCAGAGCCCAGACCCATCCTACCAGTTAGTCCAACAGGAATGAGGGGGCCTGGGGCATACTCTGCCTTCTCCCTCTGGCCAGACTGTCATCTCCATGGAGGAGCCCCGGGTAATCATGACTATGGAGGAACAAGAAAACAGCCTGTTGCTAGATACAAGTCTCTCGGTCCTTCTTTTCAATCCTGGCCTTCCTTCCAGC